TGGGAATTGCAATTTCATATGGCGCCAGAGCTCTCTGACAGAGAAGGCTAAATGTCTCAAACTACAGTTCCCAGATTTCCATTGCACCGAGCCATGGCAGTTCAAGTGGTGTCAAACTGGATTATTTCTGCAATGTGGATGGAGCCTTAATTGGGGTAAGCCACTTGAGTCCCAATCCCAGAAAAGGGCTGGTGGCTTCTATGTTAGTAAGGTGACAAATGCAAGTTTCAGCACCTTGGACAGATCCTTTACATTTCAGACTAAACCCAAAGGAGACTCTGACTAGTCTTAGTATGATCAATGAAAAATTCTCCAAACTGATTCCCATCTATCTATTGAGCCAGGTAAACCTACACTTACCTTGGACATTTTCGTGGTAAATTTGCTCGCTTGCCTAAAAGAGAAGCAGAGAGGATAAGTCAGGGATAAGTACAGAAACAACGCCTCCAGATTGCAAAGGACCCATTTAGAGACGGAGAAATTTTGGAGCGTGACCTGCCAAATGCCCACCCATGGTGAGACCGGGAAGAAACCTCCCTCTTGTGTGGTTTGCTCTTATTTACCCTTTCAAATCCTTCATGCATGTAAGTGTCTCCTCCTGGCAGGACTTTCTGAAGCTCTTCCAAGCCCTGACGGATCTGCTCCCTGCAACAGCAGAACATATGACCTTCTCTTAGGGAAAAAAGAACCCTGGATAATATTGGCATGTACAAGATTTTCATCCCCATCTTCTCAAATTAGGGCTGAAATGCATTTGCTCATCAACCACATTTTGAGATACTCAGCTATGCATGTACTCAGCGCCAGTTTCTTGATCCTTGAAAATCTTTTGATAAATAAGAATACTTTATCCAAGTCAACCAACGCTGCACAGGATGGAAGTAAAAGAAACTTCTTTCTTTTGCTTCCTCATATAGCAACAGCAATAGTATTTACATGTTTCGAGAGAGTCAGCTACTGTTATGCCTGTGCTCAATACCAGTTTCTTGATCCTTGAAAACCTTTGATAAATATAGCAGATACTTCACAGATATCTCATTGAAATACCGTGTTCAGATTACTGCAATGAAGATATTATTGTACGTAGTTGTAAATCAAAGTTGTACAAAGCTGCAAGAAGTTATAAGGAGTTAAAAGAAAACTACATGATGTATGGTGCAAAGATCACAGTGTATATTTATTTGTATATTGTAGAAGTATCAATAAAATTTTTAGAAAGAAAAAAACTAAAAAAAACTTTAATAAATATAGAATATTTTATTGGAGCCAATCTCAACTAGTGCTGCACAGAATGGAAGTAAAAGAAACTCTTCCTGGAGGTTTTGAGGCTGCATCTGCCCTGCAGAAATAATGCAGTTGGAGACCACTATAACTATCATGACTCCATCTTATGGAATCCTGGGATTTGTAGTTTGCTCTCTGACAAGGTAGGCGAAATATCTCACATAACTACAAATCCCAGGATTCCACAGCACTGAGCCTGGGCAGTTAAAGTGATGTTGAACTGCATTATTTCTGCAGTGTAGATGCAGCCTAAGAGAGGCAATTCGCCTTAATTTGGGGGGCAAAAATAGGGTGGACCAAGGAGTCTGCAGGGATTGGGAGGGCACAAAACCTGCCTTTGCCCTTCCTTGTTCCAGGTCAATATCAAGATGCACCAATAGCAAATATTATGAGCTGGACGACAGGCACTATAGATCCCATGGGGATACCAAGTGCTCAGTAATCTTCAGGCTAGGATTAGCTGAACTCAGCTGCCCTCTCCTCTTCCATCCAACCTGATGTCAAGACAAAATGAGTTCATGGGAAAGACTTTCCAAAGTCCTTGATAACCAGTTTAATCTTATTTTAAAAAAAGTTGTCAAGGACACCGACAGATTGAAAACAGGCTGACCAGGGCGGGCGCAATTGCTTTTTCTCTCGGCTGTGAAAACTGAGGGGTTGAGAGAGACAAGAGGAGCTTGAAAGGCTTTAAAGACCAGATAGTGCCTTTGTGGATCCAGGCGCTTATCTCTGAATGAGCTCATATGGCTGCTATCAACATGGGAACCCGATTTCCATGCAAAGTCGCCACATGGGTGGCCCTCCACAAATTCTGGAGAAAGCAGAAAAGTGTTGACACATTCCCATACCTTGATCCCACAATTAGCACCAACTGCTAATTCCCCAAATTAGAGATTCCCAAAGTATTTCTGCACAAGACTTCACCATTCAAGGACTGTCCAACTCCCTTATCTTAAAGACAAACCCAGAGCAGCTGAACAAATATTCGGGTGTGGAAGGTTTCAGGGACTCCCTGGGCTGGAATCGTAACTCTTTTGCAGTCATTGTTTTAAAATATTTGGCTGGGAGACTGTACCAAGGAGATGGAATATAACTTAGGTGATGCAGCTGTTGTGCAAATGGCACATTATTAGTGAATCTCAACACTGTGCAACTAAATATGGATTGGTCTCAGATGTGCATGTGGAATGCAAATCCATATATGATGCTCAATGCACAGCTATATACAATCATGTGCAGTGTGCATGAACATTCAAGCACATCCATTCACAACAGTGCTAAAAGTGGAATACTCTTCCCTTGACCATGTCTAAATATGGCCATTCCACATTGAACAAAAATGTCTAATGTCTTCCATAGGAACTGACACATGTGCGAGACACCAATAGGTTTCTGGTAGTTTATAATCCATGTGAAGTAAAAGGCTTTCACAGCCAGCATTCATAGGTTTTTGTGGGGGTTTTTTGGGCTGTAAGGCTATGTTCTAGAAATCTCTGAAGATGCCAACCATAGATGCTGGTGAAACGTCAGGAATACATTCTTCTAGAACACGGCCTCACAGCCCGAAAAATGCACAAAAACCTAATTTATAATCCACTTTTCCATTATACAGAGTAGCAGCTCCCAAGATGGCTTACAAGTCAACATAATTCAGACTATAAAACAGGAATGAAAATGAGCAGAGACAACCACAGGGGAAATCAAGATCCAACATTCAACCAAGGCCAGAGGTTGAGTAAAATAAGATTTAGCCAATAATGAAATGCCATTAGGAAGGGGTCCAGGCAGATCTCACAAAGGTGAAAGGAAAGCAAAAGAGTTCTAAGCAGAAAGTAGACCAACATTTTGGCTCCCACCTGTTTGCTTCAGGCCCTACCAACCACTGGAATGTGGATCTCAAGGACCTTGGTCAGACCTCACCTGGAAGACTATGTCCAGTTCTGGGCACCATAATTCAAGAGGGATAATGACAAGCTGGAGCGTGTCCAGGGGAGGGCAACCAAAATGGTGGAAGGTCTGGAAACCATAAAGCCCTCTGAGGAGCAGCTTATAGAGGTGGACATGTTTAACCTGAAGAAGAGATGGTTAAGGGATGACATGATGGCCATGTTTAAATATTTGAAGGATTGTCATATTGAGGATGGAGCAAGCTGCTTTTCTGCTGCTTCAGAAACTAGGACATGGAGTAATGGATGCAAACTGCAGGAAAAGATATTCTACCTCAACATTAGGAAGAACATCCTGAAAGTAAGAGCTGTTTGACAGTAGAAGACACTGCCTTGGAGGATGGCGGAGTCTCCTTCTTTGGAGGTTTTCAAGCAAAGGCTGGATGACCCTCTGTCCCAGGGAGTGCTTTGATGTTCTATTCCTGAACGGCAGAAGTTGGACTGGGTGGTCCTTGGGGTCTTTTCCAACTCTAGGATTCTAGGATTTCTCTAAAATTTAATTTGACCCTCAGGCTGAAAGGGAGTCCCAATCTTTAGTCTACAGCAGAGGTAGGCAATGTGGAATTCCAGTGGAAGTTGACCACAGAATCATGTTGGAGGACCTAGAAATGCCTAGAGAGAACATATTTTTGGAGGTCCCGTATAGGGCAGCAACAGAGACAGTAGCAAATACAGTAATCTGTGTATAATCAAATCCGTGAATGCTTAACCTGAAAATGTGGAGGGGCAACTATAGTCTAAAGCAGGGGTAGGCAACTTTTCCCCTTTAAGGGCCGAGGGACTTCAGCTCCCAGAATCCCAGGAGCTATTGGCCAACATGGGACTATTGGCCAACATGGCTGAGGCTTCTGGGAGCTGAAGTCCCTCGGCCCTTAAAGGGGAAAAAAGGTTGCCTACCCCTGGTCTAAAGTAAGAATTACTCACTTCTAGTCTCACTTAAACTGACCTTTCCTGTGAGTAATTCCCTTTACTGTCTTCCTCAGCCTCTTCCTCCCTATCTGATCCAAGGAGAGTTGAGCTTACAAGGCTATTAAAAATTACTGAGATGCTCTTTGAATGTGCTCTTTCTTATAAAAGTAATGTTTTCATTTTCAGACCTGAATAGAAGAGGAGAAGAAAAGCAGACCTACTGCAATGAACGGGAAAAAACTCTGCTCTGAAGAAACACAGAGCCAGGCTTCATAATCAACAGATAAGATCGTCCTGATATAAAACACCCTGCATCGTGCCTGCTTTCAAAATGAATTTCTGGTCTTGCTAAAGTAATTGCTGAACAGAACAAGAAGCCATTCTGAGTTTAAACTAAGCTGCAATTGATCAACACTGTAAGTTGTTTGTGTACTTTGAAAAAAATGTTTAATGCTCCTTCTCAAATAACTGCACTTCGTAGCTGCTGAGGACCGACAAGAGCCATGAGTGTCTCAGCAGAGCTTGGGAGGTTTACTTTTCGGATTTGGTTGTTGTTGGGTGCCTCCAAGTCATTTTTGACTTATGGTGACTCTACAGCAAGCCAATTACAGGGTTTTCTTGGCCAGACATATTGAGCATGGTCCTCCTCTGAGGCTGAGAGAGTGTGACTTGGCCAAGATCACCCAGTGCAGGGGTAGGCAACCTTTCCCCTTTAAGGGCCTAGGGACTTCAGCTCCCAGAAACCCAGGAGCTATTGGCCAACATGGGACTATTGGCCAACATGGCTGAGGCTTCTGGGAGCTGAAGTCCCTCGGCCCTTAAAGGGGAAAGGTTGCCTACCCCTGACCCAGTGGGTTTCCATGGCTGAACAGGGATACGAACCCTGGTCTCCAGTGTCCTAGTCTAACACTCAAACCACTGCACCATGCTGGCTCTCTACTACTTGGCCACCCAGAAAAGTGGCCCCTAGCCTTCTGATACTTGCACTGATGGGTCCATGTGCATGTTACTGCCATTTAATAATATGTGGATTGAGCATCTGTATTTTTTGCCATCTGTGGTGGGGTCTCAGAACTGAACCACTGCAGATGGGAAGTCCACTTTATGGTAAAAGAGAAAAGCTATAGAGGAGGATTAGGATTCAAAGATATAGCCGTGTTAGTCTGCGGAATCAGTATGTAGAGAGATCTCGTATTGCTTTTGAGACTCACTGAAAGAAAAAAGTTGGCAACATGAGCTTTCATAGAGGGTTAAGAGCGGATGGTACAGGGAGTTGGTTTGCCATTATTTTAAAACTAAGTTTTATATATTCTCTGCTTTTCTAGAGTGCCTTATAGTCCACGGCTTGGGGATGTGTGTTCTTCCTAACACTCAAGACTACATGTCCCATGAGTCTTAGCCAGCATAGCCAATGGTGAAGGAACATGGGAGTTCCTGGTCAACAACAGCCTAGGAAGAGTTCATGGGAATCTAGACCAAAAAAGGCATGGCCAAAAGGGAAAAGTCTTGGAAGTCGTAGGTCAACAATAACACAGTCAATGGGAAGGGCTGATAGGAGTCCTGGGCCAAGAAAACCATAGCCAACTATAGCCAAAGGGATCATGGGAGTTCTAGTAGGCCAACAACACCGGGCCCAAACCCTCGGGCAGTTCACAAAATAAAGGTTGAACCCATAATAAACTCGATAAATGTAATAAAAATTGCAAATGTGAAACAGATCTATGTAAAGTCTGAAATCAATTAAAGCATCTGCAGAATAAAAAAACACAAAATAAAATCAACAGCTGAGGACAACCAAACTTCAAAGATCTGAAAAGCACAACCACATTGTTTAAAAAACTTAAATCCTAATTGATGGCGATGGCGATGATGATACAGGCTTGTTTTGGCATCCACTCATTCATTCATTTGCCCACAAAGTTCAAACCAGTTTATACTAAACAAAACTAAACACCCAACATCCAACTTTAAGGGGCACTGGATCAATGTGATCATTTTTTTTTTTTGAAAAAAGAAGGGGAGATATATTGGTGGTAAATTATGATAAATATTAACAATTTTATAAAGTAATGAATTGAAATGTCAATTAATATTTCGAAGAAAACAAAACTAGAAAAGCATAAGAATATAGTACTTCGAGTAGTATATTGTAGTGAGCTAGCCTCTGAGATAGATGGAATAGAGAAATATTTGTTTTAAAGGATAATAATAATAATAATAATAATAATATTTAAAGGATACAGTTATAATAATAGAAAAGGGAGAAATTCAAATATAGTAAACATATTTCAAAAAGACAGAATACAGAACAGTTAAGAATGCAAAAAAACAGTAAGGGAAAATGAGTGAAAAATAACACCTAAAATCAATATCTATAAGGGGGGAAAACAAGTAAAGATCATTTATTCTATGTATCAAATGTGATGAATCAGCAACAATAAAATGTAAATCTTACAACTTTTAATTAAAAATATAAGCAAAACTAAGCAAATGTAAATTGCAAGCAAACAAGCAAGCCAACTTTTAAAAAACCAAAAACCAATATTGATTTCATTACAAGCTTCCCAAATACACACATTTTTGTATGCAACATTCTCTTAGCACACTTTTAATCCAAACTGAGAAATGCACCACAAAACTTGGACAACTGTGGCATTTTAAAGAGAAATTGGATTCCACTCCATATATAAATCTGAGAAGGATGAATTAGATCAGTTTCCTTTAAAAAAACAAACACAAAACCAGACCAAATGCCATTAGGAAGGGGTCCAGGCAGATCTCCACACCATCCCTAAGCATAAGACATTTGAAATGGTGGCAGCTGGTAGCGCCTGCGTCATTGGGGCAGTGTTATCTGCTCCGGGTTTTAGTGTGAACTTGAGTTCTCCAGTCTATTATGGGATAGTGTGTTGGAGAGATCCTTTGTAGTCTAGGTTAAAAACCTGGAGTGGATTTCCTGTCCCATTGACATGGATTCCACCAGTTGTCCCATCATCCCTTGCATTTTTCCTCTCTTTCTTACCTGTCTTCAGTGAGCCTCATGAGTGTTGAACCTCTGGTTGAGAAAACTATGAAGGACATCCTCAGCTGGGGGCTGGAGAAAAACAAAATACACAAGTTATGATCTAGGCTTGATTCTTCCTCGCTCAATTATTGACTGTATATTGACTATATTGACTGTATTGACGATAAAGTGTCTGAAGAGACCAGGGGCTCATTCACACTACATAGTTATCACAATATGATTCCACTTTAGCTGGTCATGGATCCAAAACACATTGCAGAAATAATCCAGTTCGAGGCCATTTTAGCTGCCCTGGCTCAGTGCTAGAGAATCCTGGGATTTGTAGCTTGTTGTGGCACCAAAGTGCTTTGACAGAGAAGGCTAAATGCTTCACAAAACTACAGTTCCCAGAATTCCCTAGTATTGAGCCAGGGCAGTTAAAGTGGTCTCAAAATGGACTATTTCTGCAGTGTGTTTTGGACCATGGCTACCTCCTATGGTAATCCTGAGATTTGGAGTTTAGGATTCCATAGACAGTTGCCATGGCAGTTAAAGTGGTGTCAAACTGCATTATTTCTGTAGTCTGCGTGAGCCCCAGTTCTAGTTTGAGAGCTGTGGATCTTTAACAAATATTGAACACATCACAAGGCCACAATTCCCTTTAGGGAATCCCATGGTAGCAAATACATATCATGATTGTGTGTGTTTCAAGACACACACACACCAAGTTAAGGTCTAGAATAGATTGTAAAGGCTGATGCCTTCAAGGTCTGCAATATGGGAATGGAGCAAGCTTGTTTTCTGATGCTCCAAAGTTTGAACCTGAACCAATGGAATCAAACTGGGAGAATGGAAATTATGGAACATCTTGATGGTAAGAGCTGTTGAACAGCAGAAGGGACTCTCCTAAACTCTGGTGGACTTTGCTTCATTGAAGGTCTTCCAACAGAAGTAGGAGTGTTTTAATTGAATATTTCTGCATTACAGAAGTGGACTGGATTGGATTGGATGGCCATTTGGGACCTGTCCCAACTCTATAACTCAACAAATCTGAGTCCTATACCTCATCTTCCCCAAAAGATTCCTTGATCATGAAAACAAACAGTGAGTAAAATTTATTTTGGATTCCTTGACACTGAGACAGATCTTCGACAAAGCATCAAAATCAACATCCCACAGATCCCAAATATTTGAGGAAATTGCTCAATTCGTTTTTCCCAGTATGATGTTACTAAGAATCAAAAAGACTCTGTTGCAACCACACAAGCTTGGATCAAGCCAAGAAGTGCTTAATTCTCCTCTAGTGTAGATACGGAAACCCAAAGTAGGATCCCTGTGCATGTTTACTCAAAGGTTAAGCCAGAAACAGCCTTGAATCCCATCTTGAGAGAAAGGCAGGATAAAAATCCAATGAATAAATTGGATAAAAATTGGGTAGCAAACACCTCCAAGTTATCTATGGATAGCAGAGCACTCTTAATTATCTTAAAACATGGTTAAGTTCAATGAAACCCTGGGTTTCCACTATCAGCCAGCCGTAATTTCTTACCTTATAAATTTGTGGGCCAGATGTTCCACAAAGTAGTAGATTTCACTCCAGTGGTGCAGGACGCTTCCTGATCTGGAAGAAAAATCATCCCAAAGAATATTGGTTTAATCAGAGAAACGTTTCGGTCACTGCTACTTTATTACGGCTCTCTTCCTCTGGACATCTGCAGAGCTCATCATGTCCAAAGCCGATCAACTGACTTAAAAAATGCCTTTCATGCCGAGGTGAGCTTTGGGCGTGTGGTGTCCATATTTCATGTGTTCCTTTGAAAGGTGCATGCAGATGATCTATGCACCAGGTAAACCCTTGGGAACTTTTCCTCAACATGAAGTTATAACAGCTGGCCTGGACTTTTAATGGGACACAGGGCCTAAATACCCCAAAGGCACCACAATCCCTTCTGATTTTGAAAACTAAGCAGGGTCAGCCCAGCTTAGTCTTTGGATGGAAAACCACTAACAAATACCAGGTGCTCTATTTCCAAGAATGAATTTTGCAAAACCATCTCTGAGGATTCCTTACCTAAGAAGACTCTATGAAATTCATGGCACACAAACATACACGTCAGCTAATAATAATCATAATGACATTAATCACCCTCCATGGTGAACAACAAAATGCCAGTCTGGAAGTTGTTTTAAAACCATTTTTTTCCTCTTCTGTCAAACAGCTGACGTTGGACAGCTGGGTCCAGGATCTTGGAAAATATAGGCCAATGATCTGATCCCAGCCTGTGGAACCATTGCTCCAGAGATCTCTCAAAAAGTTCCACATTTTCCCCTTTTTACAGCAAGACAGCTGAGAATGAGAAACAGCCATGGTGCTGAGAAACATTTAATCTATTTTCCATGGCACAGAGAAAAACTATGCATTTTTAAAAAGGGAAATATTAACTGCAATGGCCAAAGCTCAGGAATTCATACCAGTTGCTAACAAGACCCTGCCATAAACTCCATCTCTACATCTATTCTGGGAGCAATTTTACAGATAGCAATGAACTTTATCCACAACATCAGAGGTGCCTTTATTTGTTCTTCCTCCAATGTGATATATACCATCCTATGCCAGCAATGCCCTTCTGCACTTTACATTAAACAGGACACTCTCTATGCCAGAGGATTAATGAACACAAATCTGACATTAGGAACGGCAATACCCAAAAACCAATTGCAGAACATTTCAGCCTTCTTAGACATACAATAAAGGGAATTACAGGCAGCAGTCCTTGAACAAGGCAATTTTAAAGCAAGATAAGAAAGAGAAACTGCTGAACTGAATTATATTCATGAATTTTCATTCATTAACAGAGGTAAAGATCTGAAAGACCTGCATTGCCTCATCTAGCCCTTTAGAAAGTTAGGCCACGGGACACAAATTGCA